GGTTAATCATCTTTAGTCGTCAGCCTGAAGTTAACACCCAACGCTGCTCACATAAAGATCTTTTACATCATCATGATCTCAAAATAAATACATGTTATAAAACAAGCTGCAAAAGGAACAAGCCGTTTGTTGTTCTCATGTTAAACGCAATTTTCTGGAATAATCTGGCCAGTATTTGACAGGGAGTATGCTCATGATACCAACCACACCGTTATGAGACCTCGACCACTGGAAAGTTCAAAGGTGTGCCAGACCGCGACTTTCGGACTCGGGAGACTGAGAAACACATTAAAATTGACATAATGACTTATGCACTTGTCTTTTTGAAAGGGGTTGTGATTTGCACTTGTCATCCGGCTGTCTTGTTGTAGGCTGACTTTTAGCATAACAGTAAAGAACAAGCAGAGACAAGTCTCCATGCAACCCCCACCTTTTGCACAATGGACACGTCGACTCATTGTTAACATCAAACCATCTAAAATTGTCAAGACCAAGTAAGATATGAGCCACTGAGTAATCATTAGTGTTGTCTTGCAGTCCAATCTTACGGCTTTAAAAACAAATTTCTAAGACAATTACGCCAAAAGTCATCCCATGAATTAAAAGGCTAAACCACTTTCAACAAAAAAAAAAAAAAAAAAAAAAAAAGTACTGTAGTACTGCTGGCTGCAGTAGCATGCCAACTTTAATACGTCAGTGTTGCCAGATAAGATAACCACCATCATGGATGTTCTCGTTGTAGGGGCAAAGATCCTCCATGGTTTCAGAACAGATCATACAACTATATGTACAAGCCGCTCAGGCTTTGCATGACATCAATGAGAGATGATTTCCTTATGTGGTGATCTCAGGCAGCTTCAGCTGTGAGCACAAAAGCTCACCTGTTGCCAGAGAAGCTCCGCCCACCTAGCAGTGGTGTAAACTACTGGAGTGTTCCTTCAATTTAAAAGTAATCATGATATTAAAATGAACAAATTCTGCGGGCTATAACAACTCATTTGTAAATTAACACACATTTACACAGTATCCTTTGCTGTCCAGCAGAGGGCACACTCAAAATTCCCCATCAGCTTAGTGGGATGGAGTATGAAATGTTTTCCATGTTTCCACTTCATTTGAACAAACTCTACGCTGTTTATTCAGACTTTTATTTCTAGTTTATTTCTAAGAGTTTATTTCTAAGTCACAAACTTAATTGCAAACCCTGTACGATCCGTGTTTAAATAGCATCAATTCAGATAGTCTTCAAAGTGTCTCATCCTCACTTAGTAAAAATGGCACACACTTTTAGGAGCATGTTTTGTGGAAGAAACTGAGGAGCTGAGTAACTTCTAACCTGCAGTGTGGTGATGGACTTGTGCTGGTGCATCAGGTGAGGCATGACTGCATCCAAAGATCCCTGCCACTTGCAAGAGGCGCCGGGGCAGGGGCAGGAATACGGCCGAAACTCGCAAAGCTCTTCGTGCTCGGTCTTGTCGGTATGAGGCAAGGTGACTTCGCAGCCTGATGAGGCATACTTGCAGGGGAAAAGGACAGAGTTGGCCACCTTCTCCATGGCCAGGTTCCTGATGGAACCCAGGGGACCTCTGCAGGTGGGGCAACAAGTGAGCTTAGGCCGGCAGTTGGAGCACACCTGGGGATGAAGAAAAATAACATTTTAAAAAAAAAAATGTATTTATATATATATGAGTATGTTCATGACAAGTTTACTAAAATGTTAATCTTCACAATTATGCTTCTGCAAGAAATTTTCCTAGCAACAACAAACAGTTCAGGTTCAGTTACAGGCTGGACTGTACACACCAGGTGTCCGGACTGGCACTGGAGGATTGGGGGGAGGACATAGTCGAAGCAGACAGGACACTCAAACAGGCTCGCCAGGTCACTGTTGGAGGCTGTGGTGCCTGAAAGGGTGGGCACACGCTGAGAAGGAGGGCACTTAGATGTTCCTGTGGGCAGCGCGGTGGCAGTCTGGCGACTCATTTCTGACAAGAGAGGAGGATGGTTATGAGAAAGCCATAAGCAGATCATATTTTACCATACCATTACCAAGCCTTAGTTAAAAGATAAGTGTGACTAATTGTCTAGCCCTCCCTTTGTTGGCAGCTCTTACTCTACATTGGAGTCAAAACAGGTCACTGAGAAGGTGGAAGAAACAGACAAGACAACGGACATGAAGGACAAACATCACTGTGTTGATGCTGGTTGCAGAGCATGCAATTTGTTTAAAAACATGTAAATGAAAATATACCAAAATTATAGGGGTGCAACGATACTCGTATGGATATTGAACCATTCGATACAGTGCTTTCGGTTCGGTACGCACATGTACCAAACAATACCAAATTTTAAATTTT